TAGTACCAGTCAAATGTTTGGACACACGAATGGGAAAGTGTCCAAACTTTTGACTGGTACTGTACTATAATATACACAAAGAATATCGGCCGATATATCGATATCGGCCTTTTTTTAGTCCCTAATATCGGTATCGGCCCCAAAAAACCCATATCGGTCGGGCTCTAGTTGAAACACTGTAAAACTAGCGCCAATGTCCCTACTATTTGATTTACACTAACATAAATTCTCACATATAATTACGTCACTAAATATTCACATACAGAAGACCACTGGAGAGATGGAAAGACTTTGAGATCAGATGCCACATGGCTAACAGCATCAAGTTAATCTGGTAAAATAAATAATCATGACCAAGCACTCCAGAATATACACTGACAGACTGTCCAGTGTTTTGTTTTGCTTTTCCCTGAAATCAATCTGAGGACTTAGATGAGATCCCGAGATCATCCGCCCAGAAGATAAGGGCTAATCTAACAGGATTGTCCGCTGAGACCAATCTCTGCACTTTAATTAAGGAACAGGCATGCAGGAGTGGGCCGAGAGGGCTCTCCGGTGCTCTATGTCATATTACAGTGTAATTGATGGCAGACAGTCAGAGAGCTAATGGCTTACACAGGACAATTGGCCAAGGGGAGAGAGCCATGACACATCCAAAAAAAAAAAAAAACTCTTTCAACAAATCTATGACTCAAACAGAAAACATTTACATCCCCAAACGGTCCTTGCATAGAAATAAAAGGACTCACCATTTACCATTTAATTTTTTTAATTTAATTTAACTATTAAATGTTTTCATTTTAAACAATTATTGCTCAAATAATTCACTCTCTTGGACTAAAGGTATTTGCTGATCTCATGATTTCACCCACAACTTGCTACTTGTAAATTCAAACTGACAGTTCAGCAGGCCTGGAGAACTGAAGATTTCAGTCTCACAGTCCGACTACAGACAGTCCACCATTCGTGTTTATATAGTTTTTCTGATTTGGCAATAAAACATAGTAACCTTTAAGAGACCAGCACAAGGGGTTCTGTGATGAAAGGAAAACTTCACTTGATGGAATAAATGCACATACCCAAATTATGACAGCTATGCAATTGCATTTTCTCATCAATTTTAGGATTAATAAGCCATTTAGGGAATTTGTCCAAATAAAAAGCTCAGCTGGGCTGGAATTGGATGCAAATAAAAAAGCAGTTTAACATAAGCTAAACTACTGGTGCGTGTGTAATTATCGATTACGTCAAGTACAAAATATTTCATCTTTTTCAAACCGTACATTGGTCTACAAAGCACGTGAACAATGGTAATAATTATATTAATATTAATTGGCAACCAATTGTCTGAATCTCTGTTGCACATCATGAAGAAGCACATCATGTGTTTGACATTTGGATCAAAGATGAACTGCAAAACTGTTTGGTTAATGCTTAAAGGAATTAATTTGACTGTAAACAAGCATTATGACAAAGTGTGATCAAAAACCCTCTGATATAGAAACACATCCAAAGCACACCAGCAATGCAATCAGGAAACATTTTCATTCCCTCATCACTTTAACATCTCAATAGCTAAAAAATCAGACATCAGAGAGCTTCGTGCTGAGGCTGCAGTGACGCGAGAGCAAGAGCTGCCTGAAAAATGCTCTGGGGAAGAGCATGGTAAACCAAGATCTGATTATGCAACCCAGCGCCCACAGCATCAGGAGAAATAATCATCAACCTTCTACACAGCTCAAAGTAACGTCCTCGATGACAGCTCCATTGTCTCTGGCCATGTAACGCACTCATTCACAAATAAACTACACAAGTTAAGATGAAGGAATGCTTGTTGCAGCATGTGTGATAATGGCATTGCATCAACAAACAAGGACGCAGATTCTGCATGCTGACAGTGATGCTGCCAAAATAAATTATGTAACATTGTGAATATCATCATTTTAATGCGGTTTTTATTCAGCCGTTAAGTCACCAGACTAGTTTTATAAACCTACATTGTCTCAATTCAAACCATCTAATTAAACCAACTGCGACTCAACAAAATGCTTGCATTGGCACTCAGAAATGTTTACAGAAAACTTATGTATTAAAATTTTTCAGTACAAATTAATCTAGTTAAATACTGTTGTTTAATCTATATTGTTGCTGCATACTAATTAAAGACAATATATATACATAGTGTATTAATTTAATTTTACAAATTGTGGAAAACAAGACTTTATGTGGCTATAATCGGCATTTGGTTCAAATTTTGTAAAAACTGATTTTAAAATACATTCATCCATTTAGGCAACTTCAAATTATGCAATAACATTCTATATAATTCACAAGTAGCAGTAGGCTATTTGTGAATTATACATGGATCTTGACATTTTTGTTGATGCATGATGAACTAGCCCTGAAGGTTTGATATGAATCATGCATGTCACGAAGGCCAACTCCGATGCTCACACTTTAACACTTAGTTTGTTTATACAGCTCAAATTGTCTAACACTATAACTCCACAAGCTGCCATCTCTAAGCCACATCACAAATCCACTGAGACTCTAGCAAACACAAGAAATCAAACCTCCTTACAAGTCAAGTGGACTCATTGGCCTCAGGTCCAGAGATCAACAGCTGCTCAGAAGCCAAGGGATTTGAGTTGTTGTTGAGATATTTGCACAAAAGTATATATATAAAAAAAGAATGAAATACAGACAACCAGTGAGACAAAGTCTCAGTCATAGTTACCACTTTAATATCACAATATAACCAACAGAGAAAACCACAATGTGTTTCACACAATAAAGGAAAACTGCAGACATGTTCACAAGTCTCTGAGGTCCAAGTACAAGTCAAGTCTCAAGTCTTTGAGGTCGAGTCTAATTCAACTCTCAAGTCTTTAAAGTGGAGTCCAAGTCAAGTCTTAAGTCTTTGAGGTGGAGTCCAAGTCACATCTTAAGTCTTTGTTCTATTTATTAGCAACAGTTCTTTCAGCTAGTTATTGAGGCTAAATCGATTTTGAAATACGGATTTCACGATATGATTTTCTAAAAAAAATAACTATCAAAATTTAAGACAAATTAGAAATGAAAACGTGTCCATTTATTAATTGTCATACAAAATGCTGCACATTTCTTTGTAAAATTGAAATATGTCAAACAACGACTAAATTGAAATTTTAAAACAAACCCCAATCAATCAAATGAATAACACAAATGAAAGAAATCTCATATAAACAAACTAAGGCTTTGTATGTGCTCTTTTTCAATTTAAAATTAAAGGCAACCACTGTATTTTAAACACAACACAATCCAAACAAAGCGGCTGCATACATGCAGCATGAGCAGTTTTTAATCTAAATTGGATTGTATAATTTCGA